GGATTCCAATAATACACATGTTATTTCTCTTCCTGGTGTTCCACATTGTTCTTAGGTTTTCTTCTTTTTCCTTCTTTCTTAATTGTGCTTTTTGCTCTAGCAGATCAGTGGTGAGAATTCTATGTTCTATTTCACTGGTTCTGTATTCTATCTCTTCATCTCTGTTCATGTGTTGCTCCATCATGTTGCCAGCATCTGTAACCTTGGATCTCATATTTTGAATTGTTATTTCTTGTTTTTCCAGTGCTTCTAATGCCTTGTTTGTTTTACCTGCATTATTTTGAGTTTTTTTAAAAACTCCTCTTGATTTTTGCTTGTAGTGTCCTGTAATTCTTCAAGGGTTTTTTGGTTGGGATTTTTTTTTGTTGTTGTTGTTTGTTTATTTTTGGGTTTTTTTTTTAACCTATTGAAAATATTCAGTCATTGTTATTTAACATTCTCTTTCAGAAAGTTCCATCAGACTTTCTGGCTTCAGGAAATCCATTGCTACTTTGTCACTTTTGGGGGGTGAGATTTTGCTGTGGGATTGTGTGGGGAATGAGGTTGCCTGCTTCTTTTAGGACATTGCTGTGGTAGAGTGTTTCATGCCTGAGGCAATAACAGGTTCTTGATCTGATGTTACTGCTCCAGAAGGTTGGGCAGGCACCCACGTGGATGCACATAGGATGGGCACACACATAGACACACACAGGAATGGAGGGAGGGAGAGATTTGCACGCAGACACACACAGGGATGTGTGTGTGTGTGTGTGTGTGGGTGTGTTGTGTGCAGGGGAAATGGAAAAGCAAAAAGCCTTGGTTTTCCCCTCAAGAACTGGGTCTGCCACTCCAGTCAAGCCCCAGCTGTCTACTCCCTCCTGCTTAAGGTGATAGGGTCCCACAAATGGTCTAACAATCAACCATGATTCCCACTAAGTAACTCACTGAAATTCTCGCTGTCTTGCTTTCTCCTGGCTGCTGCATCCTGCTGCTGCTCACAGCTGCTCGCTGCTGCTTGCTGCTCCCTGCTTTCCACTGAGGCACGCTTCTCCCTACCAAGGGCCTGACAGCAGTTTTTTCCCCAAAGTACCTAAATGACCAAAGAGGAAGCCCACTGTTCCCTTCTGGAAATGGCTCTTCACCTCTTTTGAGGTGCCCAGGACCACCGTATTGCCTGAGTTAAGGGGTCCCACTTGGTCAAGCCAGACAACAAGTTTTTTTCCCCCAAAATAACTGTGGGAGCAGCACAGGCAGTGCCATCCTGGCTTCCTGCCATGCTTTCCTGGCTTTTTTTTAGCAAATATTTTTAAGATTTTCCTCAAAAAGAATATTTAGCACTTTTAAATAAGAAGAAAAATTTTCAGTTTAGGCTTTGACCCCATCTTTTTAAATATTAACCTATCTTATTTTACTTATAAAATTGAAATAGTCTGGGAATGAGTGATTTACCTTGTTTTCATTTTGAGATATTACTTCTTGGTGATGTTTTTATCATTACAATCACAATGTCTCCAGCTTAATTTTTTTCTTCGTGTGATTTCATCTCCTGGGAGTATTTTTTGTGTGTATTTCCCCTGGTGCTAGGTTTATACCCTTTTGTGGCTTTTAAAACTTCTGACTCATCCTATCATTTTCTATATTGTTAAGAATTTCTCTACTTTTAGAATAAGTTTTTGCTATAAGAAATGTTTATTCATAAAGAATCTTGATTTATTAGATTAGAGTTTGTGTCAGGGGATTTATTCGCATTGTAAATGGAAAAATGAACATGTAAGAGATTGTGAGGATGACACAGAATAGGGCAAGGGTTCAGATCTGTTGTTCACACCGTCACCATAAGTAGTTGACTCCGAGCAGAGAGGCGTAACAATAACAACAGTAATATGCAATATGCTAACATTAAGAAGTTAAGTATAGATTTTTATATATGGACAAGGAAAAGTCTCAAGATCATTTATTCTTCAGGATATATAACATATAGTATATGTATATATATATATGTATACATATGTGTATATCTGTTGTATATATAATATATAGCATAACATGATCTCATGTTTACTTAAAAATAACAGCATATATGTCATTTTATGTGTAAAATCCAGAGCACCTATCAAATAACATGTTAGTTTTCTATATTTAATGAAGTTAAGATTCTGCTGAAAATTATCCAAAAACGTTTGGAACAATATGTCAACAGAGAACTGCCAGATGTGCAGGCTGGATAGGGATATTATAGCTAATGTTAGATAGATCTTGGCAGAAAGCAAAGAATACCAGAAGAATGTCTATCTGTGCTTCATTGACTATCCAAAAGCTTTTGACTGTGTAGATCACAGGCTGTGGGTGACTGAGAAGAATGGGAATCCCAGAACATTTGATTGTGCTAATGTGAAGCCTATACTTGGACCAAGAGGCAGTTGTCATAACAGAGCAAGGAGATACTGCATGGTTCGTAATCACGAAGGGGGTTCGTCAGGGATGTATTCTGTCTCCATACCTTTTCAGTCTGTATGCAGAACAGATCATCCAAGACGCTGGACTATACGAAGAGGATTGTGGCATCAGGATTGGTGGAAGAATCATCAACAACCTGCATTATGCAGATGACACAACCCTGATTGCTGAAACTGAGGAGTACCTGAAGTGCTTGCTGTAGAAGATCAAGGACTACAGCCTCCTATATGGACTGAAGCTCAAAATCAAGAAAACAAAGATTCTCACCACTGGACCAATTGGCAGCATCAGTATGGATGGTGAAGAGATTGAGATAGTTAACAGTTTTAGTTTACTTGACTCCACAATCAACACTCTTGGTAACAGCAGCCAGGAAAACAAGAAACAAATTGCATTGGGAAAGTTGGCTGTGAGGGACCTCTCAAGAGTACTGAAGGGCAACGATGTCAGACTAGAGACTAAAGTGCACCTGATCCGGGCTATAGTCTTCGCAGTTATGTGCTATGCATCAGAGAGTTGGACAGTGAATACGGTTGCTAGAAAGAGAATTGATGCCTTTGAGCTGTGTTGCTGGAGAAGAGTGTTGAATATACCATGGACTGCTAGGAGAACAAACAGGTCTGTCCTGGTGAGAGTGAAGCCAGAAGGCTCTTTGGAGTCTGGATTCTGAAGCTTCGTCTGACATATTTTGGGCATGTTGTAAGGAGGGACTGGTCCTTGGAGAAGGACATCATGTTTGGCAGAGTGGAGGAGCGGCGAAGAAGAGGAAGACCTTCGATGAGATGGATCGATTCTGTGACTGGAGCAGTGGGAATAAGTGCATTTGAGATGGCTAGGTTGGCACAGGATAGAAGAGCGTTTAGAGCTCTTGTACATAGGGTCGCTATGAGTTGCAAGCGACTCGATGGCACACAACAACAACAAAGATTGTTTTGTGTAATACTGCACTATTTTAATTTTTCACAAATACTCTGTAAGCCAATACTTTGAGATACAAAAATTTAAAATTTACTAACTTTAAAAAAAATGTTATTGACCATACCTTTCTAATTACTTATTGTAAAGAGAGCAAGGGCTACGTTGGGATAGCTGTGTCTGCGTTTTACCAACTCCACAAAGATGATCTATCTCTGTCAACACAGCCTGAACACAGAACCAATTCCTGTAAGGTCAGACATGCCTCTTACACTCCCGCACCTCCTTCTAGTCATCCCAACACCAATCCTATAGCTTGTCTGGGTCCAGAATCTCATATGATAGCTCACAGACCACATAGAACTGTATTAGTGAAGTCAAAAGGCTTCAGGTTGGCAGTAAGATACAGTCAGTCAGCACAACTTTCAAAATTTGCTCATGCCACCTCACCCTTGAGCCTTAAGGCATTGGGGCAGTGTTACAAAGTGCCCAGTCCAATATGGCTCTCCCCAGCCCACCTCCAGTATTCCAGCAAACTTGAGCAAAGGTTTGACATTCTGGTTTAATGGGGTGGCAGTCCTATGATCCCTCCATCTCTCATCTGGTCTCTGGTTTGCTGCTGCAGCTGCTGTGGCTGCCTCTACTGCAGGCCCTGGGCTGATTGGCATAAGAATCTCTGGCCCTGAAAGACACCCTGCATTTTCTTGCTTTTTCTTTGCTAGTGCTGAGGTTCTCTCATGCTGCTGCTGCTGCTGCTGAATCCACTCAGTTTAATGGCAAGACTAGCCAGTTGCCTTGTGGATTGGCGAAACTTGCCACTCCTTTTGTGGATAGACTAATGCGTCCTATTTTCTTATTCCCACCCATCCACATAGCAAAGTCAGTCTATGCTAGGAAAGCCATTTTAAACAATAAACCCTTAACAGCGCACTTACTACTTTCTTAGAATATATTTGATAATTAACCTCTCTGACTCCATTTTTTCTCTGTCTTCTTCCCCCCATCCCCTCCCCTCCTTTCATTTCTCTCCCTCCAACCTTTTTCTTTCTCTTCTCTTCATCCTTCCCTGTCCTACTCCCACCTCCTTCAACAAATACACAAAAGTTATTTAGAGGGGAATAAACATTTGAAACTATTAGGAGACTTGTGTACCATAGAGTCGGAACCAACCTGTAGCTGACCCTCTGGCAGGTTTTCAGAGGCAGAGGCAGTTAATCACATTGGAGAAGATTTGAGAATTTTTATTAATCCTTTCTTAACAGTCCAGTTGGTCTTAAATCAATGTCTGGTATCCCTGCTGTTTTGAGCATCCTGTTTTCACATATGCATAGAAAAGAGAGGGTTTGCATGTTTTGAAAAACCATATCATGCACACATCTCGTCTGACATAATATAAATTACCAAGGAAAGCTTTAAAATATAACTCTTATTACTAATAATTGAGATGTATCTAATACATTTTTTTTTGTGAGTCCTGATGAATTTCTAATGTAGCTGATACTTTTCAGTTTATTCAGCTAAATTCTGAAAGCCAAAAATTGATGTATTCAATAAATTATAACATTCATACTTTTGGGTTGCTATATTATTTTTCCCTTTTGTTCTTATTATCCTTTCAAAACAAAGCTCATTTATCTTTCCACTTTTAGTGTACTCGGCAAATCATCTCTGAGAAGTTAGGCCGTGGCTCAAGAACTGTGGACCTTGAACTGGAAGCTCAGATTGATATATTAAGGGATAACAAGAAAAAATATGAAAATATTCTGAAACTGGCCCAGACGTTGTCTACCCAGCTTTTCCAGATGGTGCATACTCAAAGACAACTTGGAGATGCATTTGCTGACTTGAGTTTGAAGTCACTAGAACTCCATGTAAGATTATTTTAAATAGCTACTGGGGGGAAATGTTAATAGAATATCTAAGAGATAATTTGTCAATTTATGAGTTGGTACACTCTTAATAATATTGGAATTTTGAGGGAGCTCTGGTGGCCTAGTGGCAAGAAGCTGTACTGCAATCCCAGAGGTACAAGGTTCGAATCCACCAGATGCTCTGCTGGAGAAGGAGGGGCAATCTCCTCCTGTACCATTCAGATCTGATTTGATGGTACACACACATGAAATAATAAATTTTAAAAAACAAAATTAAATTTAAAAAAATATTGGAATTTTGAGGTGTTCTTTAAAGACATTTTGTATAATCTCTAAGAAGACCAGAATTACTCCTGACAGTATAGTGGTCCAGTTGCACTATTATCATACTCCACCAGATCCGTAGCAGGAGTGGTTCTGAGGAGCATAAGTTGGGTTTTTAAAGAAAGAAGCAGAAAAAGTTAGCTTGATCAGACAAGACTTTGTTAGAACTTAAGAGACAGAAACTAATACTAAAATTTGTGTTATGGACCCCAAAGCATTAAGTCATCCAAGTAGACCTAGCAGGGCAAATAGGTTGTGTGATTACATATCTGACTGCTTATATGCAAGGATATGTACAGGGTAACAAGGGGGGAAAGTACTTAATCTATGACAGATGGGGGTTTTGTTGTTGTTTTCCTACTTAGTGAGTTTCAATTAATGTTACTATGAGTAAGATGTTTGGTATATTTTTCTTAGCTCAGGGCACTTGCAAACTAAGTACTCTAGTTGTCTCCCACAATCCTATGCAAATAGTGTCATTTATGGTCATCACAATCCTACAAAATATGTCAATACCAGGATGGGAAATTTGATGAACAAGAAAGAAAAAAAAGTGTATGCAGCCTACCTTCATTTACATAGTGAGAGATTAACTGTTGTTATTTGAGTATATTAGACCAAATATATTTAATATATTTTAGTTTTATGTTTGACCACTTATGGTTCTCTGGAAGGACTGGTATTTCATGAGTTTTATTTTCTCTTAGATCTCTTTCAGTGGAAATTTTACCTTTTGAAAGAATAGAATGAAACTCTGCAATTATATTCCAAAAAGAAATTTGAAGAAACTATCTATGCAGTCTTTTTGTAATATTCATTCAACAAAATTAAAACTGAGAGTTTTCAATTCTGCCTTGATGGCAGAAAGAAGACAGTAACAGAGACATTGCAAAATAATTAGATAAATTAGAAGAGGACTTTACAGAAACAGCACTGTGCACTCTGATGATGATGGGAAAATTGATAATATATGAAATGTCACACTATTAGTCTTCAGGTGACAATATGCTAGATTCATTTTCTTTAAAGAATCTATTTTTAAGAAAATAAAGGAAATATAGTGGTTTTTAGTTATTTAATAGGAATGATTCCATCATGCAGTATTCTTGGAATCTGAATTATACTTTTTCTAAAAGGGCTTAAGGTGTGTTATTTCATCTTTTTAAAAAAATAGTATCTATCGACCAAAATATAATTGATGTGGTTTGTTAGTGGACAAGTGCTAAATGAAAGTGTATATAAGTATGACATGAAGAAAACAAATAATGTAGATAAAGATTTTATTGAATACTCTAATTAGTGTTTATAACCCTTAAGTGAAAATTGTGGAACAAAGAATAAAGCTATCTTTTCAACAAAATCAAGAGTTGTCTGAGATTCAGAAGTATTACATTTTGATGATAATTAGTTCAACAGAAGAATTAATAAGTTAGAGATAGATTTGAAATTTCAAATCAGAACTTAGAAGAGGACTGACTGTATATGAAATTCCTTATTAATTTTAGTATATAATTCATGAAACATAAAACTCACCCTTGCATGTATAGAAGTCATGAAATAGACATTCCTTAAGAGATAATTTTCTGCATGCTTCAGGAGATGTTTCTTTTTAATATATGTATAGAGTTCTACATTGATAACCACTATCTGTTTTCAGGACATTTTTCTGTCACCACAAAAAAGTACCCCAAAGCCATTAGAAATTTCCTCCTGTTTATCCTTTTTCAGCCCATGGCAATACTAATCTGCTTTACATCTCTGTTAATTTGTCTTTTCTGAGTAGTTCACATATTTGGAATCAGAATGATTATAATCATAAAGCATATATGGCCTTTTGTGTGTATTCTTAAACTTGTTATATGCTGTCAAGTTGGATCCAATTCATAGCTGACTCCCACCAGGTTTTCAGAGGTTGTAATTCACATGAGAGGAGATTGTCCCTCTTTCTTTTGCAGAGCAGCAGGTGGATTCAAACTGCCTGCCTTTGGATTGGAGCAGCCACTTACCACTTTTCATCAATATTTGTATTGTAGCATGTATTGGTCCTTCATTCCTGCTTTTAATCAAGTAATTCTCCATCTTTTACTGAAGTTAATTGAGAAATACTTGCAGCAGCACATGAACAAGGCACTACCAGAAACTCAAGCCAGATTTAGAAGGGAGGATTTAACAAGATATATCATTGTTGTTGTCAAAGAGATCCTGACTGAAATCAGAGAATATAGAAAGATGTTAATTTGTATTTTATTGACTGTGTAAAGACATTCAACCATGTGTATCATAACAACTTATGAATGATATTATTGTGGAGAATAAAAATTCTAGAACACCTCATTGTGCTCTTGCATAGACCAAGAGGCAGTAGTTAGAACAGAATGAAAGGATACGGAATATCTGGAAATCAGAAAGGTACATGCCGTAGTGACCTTTTTTACCAAACTTACTCAGTGTGTATGCTGAGTAAATAAGCAGAGAAACTGAACTATACAAAGAAGGCTCAGAAATGGAGGACTAATTAGTCAGCAAAAGGCTTGAAACACGGATATTTCAGTAAGCAGCATCATGATAAACAGAAAAGATCAAAGCTGTCAGGGGTTCCCATTTTACTTGGAATTATCAGTTAACATCAGTGGAAACAGCAATCAAGAAATCAAATTTTAATTAATGCTAAAACGCATATGCGTGAATAAAAACCAGTCTTTAAGGAAGAGAATAAAAAAAGCTTGCATTGAGCAAATCTGCCACAGAAGACCTTTAAATTGTTATGCAAAAATATCGCTTTGAGGACTAAGGATGCATCGAGCCCAAATCCAGGATATTTTCAGTTGCTACCTATATAGGGCTAGCGTTGCTGATGTCAGGTGCATCCTCACAGAAAGCACAGAATATCAGAAGAAGAATATCTATTTATGCTTTATTGACTGCGCAAAGACATTTGACAGTGTGGATCATAACAAATTATGGTTGAAAAGAATGAAAATTCCAAAACACTTGTGCTTATGTGAAACCTATATCTAGACCATTAGGCTGTTGTGCAGACAAAACAAGAGAACTCTGTGATTTTAAGTTAAGGAAGGGTGTCAGTGTTACATCCTTTCTGCATACTTATTCAATCTGTATTCTTAGCAAATTATTTGAGAAGCTGGACTCTATGAAGAAGAATGTAGCATCAGGATTGGAGGAAGATTTCATCAAGAACATTCTTTCTGCAAATGACACAACCTTGCTTGCTGAAAGTGAGGAGGGCTTGCTGCAGAAGATCAAAGGCTACAGCCTTCAATATAGATTGCATGTCAGTGTCAAGAAAGTGAAAATTCTCACCACTGGACCTATGGGGAACATCATGATAGAGAAAAGAATGAAATTGTCAATGACTTCATCTGCCTTTGATCCACCATCAGTACACTTGGTCCCAGCAGTCAGGATATCAAGAGACATATTGCAGTGGAAAAGTCAAGGACCTCTCCAAATTATTGAGGAATGATGATGTTAGTTTGAGAACTAAGGTGTGCTAGATTCAGGTCATGATCTTTTCAATCACTTGGTATGGTCCTTAGAACTGGACTGAATAAAGATGGCAGAAGAAGGTACCTTTGAAATGTGTTCTTGGAGAACAATATTGACTATCCCATTGAATGCCAAAAGAACAAATAGATATGTCTTAGAGAAGGTGCAGTCAGAGTGCTCCTTGGAGGCAAAGATGATAAAGTTTCATCTCGTACTTTGGGCATATTGCTAGGAGAAGAGATTGCTTAGAGAGGAACCTGATTGATTCTTGGAAAGATTTTATCACATCAGACTTTTAGAGACCATCCCAAGAACAAAATTAATACTAGTGGCTGAAGACTAGATCAATTGTGAATGTCACTGAGTACATCGTTGTTGTTGTTGTTGTTGTTGTTGTTGTTGTTAAGTGCCGTTGCATTGTAGGTGACGCATAGTGACCCTATGAATGAAAGTCCTCAACACTTGTGTGGCTTTCATCCTTTCTCCAGGTTCATAGGGTTTCAGGAGGCAAACTGTTACATAAGTGGATGTCACTCCTGCTTCGAAGTTTGTTTCAACTGGGGAGATCCACCAAACACTGTCCGCCATGGGTAACCATTATCGCATTTGACACATCAGTTTCACAGTGTTCAGCTTCACAGCAACCACAAGTTACCTCAGTTTGGCAAGTGGACACACCAGGGCCATACGACCTAGAAGAATGTTTGACCAAAAACAATTAAGAACAGGCCCCCAAGGGCCATGAATTAGAGTCACCCACCTTTGGCTTGGTAGCATCACTTTCGGTCCACTAGGCCAACTGGTCTCTCTCTATGTTGTTAAGTTCCATTGAGTCATAGGCGACTCTTAATGACCCTATGAAGGAAAGTTCTCGACAATTGCATGGCATTCATCCTCTCATCCTTTCTACGACTTGACGACACTTAACAACATAAAGAGAGACCAGTTGGTCTAGTGGACTGTAAGTGATGCTACCAAGCCAAAGGTGGGTGACTCTAATCTTCGGCCCTCAGGCCTGCCTGTCTTTCATTGTTTTTGTTCAAACATTCTTCTAGGTCATATGGCTCTGGTGTGTCCACTTGCCGTACAGAGGTAACTCGTGGTTGCTGTGAAGCTAAACACTGTGACACTGATGTGTCAAACACGAGAATGGTTACCCATGGTGGACAGTGTTTGGCGGAGCTCCTCAATTAACACAAGCTTGGAAGCAGGAGTGGCATCCACTTCCATAAATAGCTTGCCTCCAGAAACCCTATGAAAAAGTACATGATACCTAGTAAAAACTGTCTTCTTAATGATGGTGTTGGTGAAGAATATTTAATATACTATTTAACTACCAAAAGAATGAATTAATCAGTCTTGGAAGAAGTGCTGCTAAATTGATCCTTAGAGGTGAGGGTAGCAAAATCTTGTTCTTTGGACATACTTTCAGGAGGGACAAGTCCATAAAGGAGGATATAAAGTTGGTAAAGTGAAGTATCAGCAAAGAAGACTGTAAGGAACTGGATTGACAGTGACTGCAGTAAGTGTGAGGATGGCCAGCATTTCATTCTGTTGTACATAAGATTACTATGAGTTGGAATCAACTTGATAGCACTTAACAACAACATTTTCATTCTCTTACTTTTTTTTCCAGCCTATATTGAAAAGTGCTTTATAGCAAACCTCAGATTACTCAAATGAATGATTAACTCAAAATACCAATTTTAATGATTGACCAGATATGTTCATGTGTTACCTTATGGTTACCAACTTGGACTACAAACATTTCCCTGGTGGGAACTTAAGTTTAGTTCTTGCTGTTTCTAAGGGAGCTGTGTGAAATGTTTGCAGAGTCAAGACTCAGTTTATTCAGAGAAATGTATTGAGGTTGATGTTGAATGAGCGTTTCTCACTTCTGTGCCTGTATAAAATTTTGCTTGAGAATCAACTGCTGTTCACAAAGTTTGCAAAGAAACATATGCTGTTAATATTTATACTATGATGAGATTCCATTAAAATACAAAAATTGTGATCTAGTTTATGTTTTAAAGTTTCAGCCAATTGTTACCTAATTTGGTTGTTAAAGTTAGTTGTTTCTCTGATTAATAATATGCTATGTTTTTCTTCTTAACAGCTGTGCTTATAGTACAGTAAGAAGAAATAAAAATATTTTTCCTGGCTCAAAGTAGTTTATCTTTTTCAGTTATTTTCATTTTAGCTGTATGTCTCATCTGATAAAGATTTTAGCTTACCAGACTTACTAGGCTTAAACTAGACTTACTAGACTAGACTTAAAAATAATTATATAAGTAGATTTGATTTAGGGTTCATATTTCTTTAATGATTGACAGAAAAATTAAAATTTCTGTTGTTACATTTCAGAATCAAGTATTTTCCCATTAGTAATAAATTGGAGATGTTTTTAAAGACACGTTTGCTGATTTGTAACTGGTAAATTAAAATGAGTTCTTTGTTTTAGGAAGAATTTGGCTACAATGCAGATACACAGAAGCTACTGGCTAAAAATGGAGAGACTCTTCTTGGCGCTATTAACTTTTTCATTGCCAGTGTAAACACTTTGGTGAATAAAACTATTGAAGATACTTTAATGACTGTGAAACAGTATGAAAGTGCCAGGTAAGTAAACTTTCCTATGTGTTGTCTGTTTTACAAATTACATATAATTCAGTAAAGACTTTTGGTTCTAAACAGCAAAAAAAAAAAAAACTGATCAGTATTGGGGTGTGGGGGGAGGCGTGTAGTGGTAAAGTACATTAGCAAGTTATAGGGAAACCCAGAAAGGTAAGAGAAGGAAATTCTAGAAATAGGCAAAGACTAAAGCTGAAGTAATGCCACAGAAGAATCATATTAGGACCTGATTTTACATGTATCTGGTACTTGATGCTTCACAGCAACCATAATTTCCAAGAAGCTTTTTTTTATTACCTTTTGATTCAAAGACCAGTCATGTGCCTAAACCCTGCCTGCTAAGGGCTCTGCCCAAACTCTGCCTTAAAGGAAGACAGAGACCCATCAAGTCAACTCTGATTCATAGTGACCTTACGAACAACAGATCTGAAACTTTCTCTATCCTGTGCCATCCTTACCATCTCTGCCATATTCTCGCCCATTGTTAGAGTCACTGTGTGAGTGTATCTCATCTTTCACTGGTCCTCTCATTTTCTGAGATGATGTATTTTTCCAAAAACATGCCCAAAGTATGTGAGATGAGGTTTCACCATCCTTGTCTCTAAAGAACACCTTGGTCCTACTTCTTCCAAGATTGCTTTTTCTTTAGCAGTCCACAATGTATTTAATACTCTGCCAACACTACAATTCAAAGCCATCAGTCCTTCTTTGTTCTTCTAATTTAGAGTTCAACTTTCACATTCTTAAGTAGCAATTGAAAACATCAAGGCTTCACTCAAGTGCACCTTGGGCTTTAAAGTGACATCTTTGCTTTTCAGCACTTTCAGTAAGTGGTTGGCAGCAGATTTGCCCAATACAGTATGTTTATTTTTTTTATTTCAATTATTTTTTTTTCTAGTTTATGTTTTTTCACTTCTTGACTGCTGCTTCCATGGGGATTCAAGTAAAATTAATTAATTGACAAGTTCAAGCTTTTCTCCATCTGTTATGATGTTGTCTATTGGTCCAGTTGTGTTTTCTTGATGTTGAAATGTAATTCATATTAAAGGCTGTGATCTTTGATCTTCTTCAGTGCTTAAATCTCCTTTACTTTATTCTGGAAAGGTGGTGTTACTGATGAGTCTTCCTCTAATCCTGATTCTACATTCTTCTTCATGTATTCCAACTTCTTGAATTATTTACTCAGCATACAAATTGAATAGATGTGTTGAGAGGATTCAATCCTGACACAGGCCTTTCCTGATTTTAAATCATGTAGTGTCTGTCCCCTTCCCTTGTTCCCTCCAAATGACTGCTTCTTGCTCTATTTATGGTTTCTTCTGAGCATAGTGTTCAGGAATTCTTATTCTTCTCAATATTTATCATAATTTATTATACTCCACACAGTCAAATGTCTTTGCATAGTCAATAAATTCCGAGTATACCTCTTTGTCGGATTCCCTGCTTTTAGCCAAGATCCAGCTGACATCAACAGTGGTATATAACTCATTCCACGGCTTCATTGGAATCCAGCTGGAATTTCTAATAATGCCATGTAGATACAGTGTTCTCTTTCTTTTACTTTTTCTTTTTTTTAATTGCTGAAGTTCTTTATTTGAATTTAAGAGAGAGTAACCCAATGTAGGAAATACAGAGATCCAGGACCAGGTTCCAGTTCAAGGTGTGGCAGGAAAGCAGGACTCTTCTGGAGGTGCCAACTGGAGCCTACTGACTTTCAAGAATGCATTTCTCTGTTTGGGCAGGAGTGAAGATGTTCTTCTGCAAGAACCCTTTCTGCTGAGTAAAATTGTGAAATTCTTCCATGGCTTCCACGTTCATGTCTGGGTTCTTCCCAACGAGTTTTGCCACGTGCCAAGTTTTCCCATTGCAATTACTTTCACAGTAAATTATGTAATGGTCCTGTATTTCTATGTGCTTCTTGCCCCCAAAAGGACTGTATTGGCCAGTCTCTCCCTGTTTCTCTAAAATGATTCTCTTCTCATAGCACCAGTCATTCTTCATGAAGGTGAATGAGGTCTCCAGGTCCCCATTTGTCAGGGCAGTCAACATCAGAGGAGATACCTTCTTGGGCACTTTTTCCCAGGGCAGGTCACTGTCAACTACTATAGCTGTTATGTACCAGGTCCCTGTGACCTCAGTACAGCATATTGACAGAAGAGTGGTGTACCACTTAGAAGAATGTTCCTCCAAAATATAACAACCAACTTTAAAATTGAAAGGCCTTCCTCGAGGTCTTGTGGACTCTAAACAAGAGACAAAACCTAATATAAATTTTCAGAAAGATTTTGCTTGCATATAATATTAACAATATTGTTGTTTAGTTGGGAATGAAAATAAACCACCTTTTAAAAACTTGTTTACTTTTTTGCCTCTTGCCCTAGTTTAATGATATGAAAATTCCTATGAAAATTTAACTTATCTAATTGCCATTATATGCTATGCATAAGAGAGCTGGACAATGACTAGGGATGATAGAAGGAGAATTGATGTTTTTGAGCTTTGGTGCTGGAGAAGAGTATTGAATATACAATGAACTGCTAGGAGAACAAACAGTTCGTCCTAGAGAGGGTGGAACCAAGCTTCTTCTTGAAAGGAAGGATTATGATGCTTCGTCTGACATACTTTGGACATGTTGCAAGGAGGCACCAGTCCTTGGAGAGGGATGTCATGCTTGGAAGGATGGAGGGACAGCATAGGAGAGGAATACCCTCAATGAGATGGATTGATTCAGTGATTAGGGTAATGGGAGTAGGTATATCAGAGACAATAAGATTGGCAAGTGGATAGAGCAGGGTTGAAGGCTGTTGTACACAGGGTCACTATGAGTCACAAGCGACTCAACGGCACATAACAACAACAATCTTCTGATATTTAAATCTTTATTCTTAAGCATGTATTTTCTTATGACTTAAATAAATAAATGCTCAACTTACTTTAAAAAGTTAAAATGTGATCTTTTTTTCCAGAAGAATGCTTCTGTCTCATACTGTTGGTAGTTTTCAATTAAGTATAATGTATAAGAGTTTTAGTGACTCTTCATATTTGAATATGAAGATAAAGACATTTGTGCTCACCAGGTGAGGGAAAGCAGAGATAGGGTTATTTGACATATTTGGCCTTTGAACTTGATATTCTTTTACTTTATTTCAGTTATTTACTAATGTGATGCTTAAATCAGGAGATTGGTGATAGAATTTTAAAAAGAAACAAGAGACATGGAGATAATGTGTATTTATGGATATGCCCACCACTATCATTCCCAGAAATTGGTTTTCCAGTCTCTAAATCATTTCATGAATATTGTCTTTATTCTTCAAAGCATTCATGGATATATATTTTTCATTTCTATCTGGTCTATTTGATTCCTTTCAGAATCTGTTTATTCCTTATATCTAAAATTATCCATAATTAATACTCTTGCTTTTATCAGTTTAATCTTTTTAAGAACTCTGAATTTCTAGTCTTCTAGATTGTTTTAGTATTTCTGGATTTTGAGGATGAAATTGTTCTGTTTCAAAGAAATATTCCCTGCCTAGTTTAGAACTATCTAAAGAACTATGTGAATCTAGTTTTTATGTCTCTGCTTTGAAATTGTTCACTTATTATAAAAAATGTTAGTCATTCTTCAGTCTTCATTTATAATATGTTTTGTAAAAACTTGAGTCTATAATGAAATTAGACCCAACAGGAAAACTACTGATCATGCGTAAGGCATTTTAATTTGATTTACAGAGAAGAAAAAGAAGACTTTAGAAGTTTAACTAATTTGCTCATTTCTAATAAATTTCGAAGCCAAGATAATAACTTTTGGCTTTTTATTCCTACTCTTGATGAAACTTAACCTAAAATTTTAATGTTTAATTCTTTCAAATGAATTTTGCGTCGTATAATCAGAAATTATTTTAAAGTATAAAGATTTCTTTTATACAATACATAAATTTGTTTGAAACTTGTAAATTAAATTATAAATGAAGTTATATGCATTTGAGAGCTTATTTGGTTTTTCAAAAGAATTTAAGAGCTAGCAATTATATACTATTTAAAAACCAACAGAAATAATCTCACCTCATAATTTTTCATTTTATACTCTAATTATTACTTATGTTGTTATTAAGTTTAACTTGAGTTTTTACTTTTGTCCTGTTTATACACTGCTATGAAATTGCTTGGCTCCACAACTGAAAAAACTATTTACTGAGAGACTAATATTAAAAAAGAATCCCAGATTAAACAGTAGCTGAATTTTCTTCTCTGTCAAAACTAGAATTTACTGACTTTCAGTTCAGGGGTCACATATTTGATCAGCATGAAAAGTGATAATTTAAGCAATGCCCGGGTCATCTTTTAATGCTCCCTATTATGCATTGTACAAGATTTCCTAGACCTCTGTTGCTTCATGTATTCAAAAATCTTATAATCGTCCTTTTACCACTTCCCTACAGTAGCACCAACAAGGAAATCAATTGTGGTCAAGACTGTGGACACCTGTGCTCTACCAGTTTTATGTAAACCATAAAGTGACCAACTATCATTAATTTTATTAGTATGGAGTTTATTAAGAGGGCAACCTTCAAATGAAGAGTTACATTCTGTGGAAATTTAGTACTTTGCTTTCTGGTGTTAATCAGCAGTGTTAGAGAAATTCTTTTGGACAATCTTTACTTTAATGCCTTTTATAAACTCTGAATGTAACACTGAAGGGAAATAAAGTCAGTCAGTATTATAAAATTCCTATTAAATTGATCAGTGTTTAGAAATGTACTTAGAGGCTGTTAAAGGATATCACATTTTTGTCTTTACATTGAATCATTTGCTATTTGTTATAGTTCTACTTTTTTCTTTCTTTTTACTATTTTTAGTATGTTTGCTTCTGATTTAGTAATAATAGTTTAGTCATAATCTTTCTAAAGATAATAGCTACTGTCAAATGTCCAAATATCAAATTTATCTGTATGAACTTTTGTGGAGATTAAATTTTCCTTGCTTAT